ATATGAATTTGATAATACTGAACATTAATGTAAATTATCAAAGGAAAAGTAGAGTTTCTTTTTTAATTAGAAGAAAGTCACTTCTCATTATCATTGGAGTTTAAAAAAAAAGAAAAAGTAAAAATTAAGAAAAGAAGAAAGTCACCAACTTATATAAGACGGGTCTATCCTGTAGGGCTTCCATTGCCTGAGTTAATACTGGAGATATATCACATGATTCCTGTGTCAATGTTCTGCATTCACCTGAAAAATAATTAACATAACTTTTATTAAATTAAAATTAGGTCTTTATTATGCCCATTGTATATCAGGAGGCTAAATTCTATAGCATACATCCGGGGAAAAAAATGCTTAGAAAAACCTAGAGAATACGCCAATCAAAAACTAATTTATGCGATCAAACAAAAAATTTAAGTTTAAGTAGTTAAATAACTTTAAATGACCACATGTATTATTACAAAAAACTACAATTCGAAGAAACCAATCAATGAACAAATATTTACTGAATTACCACCATACACATGGCAGTATAAGAAAAGAGGGGAAGAATACTAAAAATACATTATCAGTTCCTTCCTTCAGGAGCAATCTTTAAGCAATTTGTTAAAAATGTTAATATGAATAACTGATATATGGTAATAAAATTATTAATATAATTTCGAAGTAGTTTGGATTTTAAACTCGTAAAAATCTCTACACCCAACATTTTCTTTATTTTACTATTCTAACTTTATCCATAAAATGCTTACAAATGCCTAGTATGTTCAATAAATTTAGAACTTGTTCAAAAATTCCCATCCTTTTGGTATAGGAGGACTTCATACTAGCAGTATATTATGTAGTATGCACTGACTAAAGAAAAACGTATGCATGTGTAGACTTGGAGATATCTTAAAATGACTTCATAGTCCCTGGGAGACAGAGACCCACAGATTGGAACCACTATGTTAGATGTTATAAAAGCACAGAGAAATCTGAGACAATGTCCTTGCCTTTGAGAAAGTGGAAATCTAACTACAGAGAAAATGTATAGTGTGAAAAGTTAAGGAATAATAAAGTAGCGTACTATTGAGTGCTAAATAAATATTTCCAGTGCCTAGTGTTCAGAGATAGGCAGTCACCGTGATTTACTGGGGTCATGGTCAGTTCCAGGAAGATGTAGAACCTAAGTACTGCCTTGAAGGTTGAGATGGGTTTTGGATACAAAGAGAGAAGCCAAACACCACTCCAGATGGGAGTAAACACTGTAAACAAGAAGAGAGGTAGAAAAACAAACAGCATTTAGAGATAAAGAGTAAATCACTCAGACCAGAGAATTAGGTTTTCATAGTATAGTACACGTGTAACTGGTAACTGGATTTAATTCCAACTCCTTCCAATAGTCATTTGGTACCACCTATTAAAATATCATATGCTCCTGTTTCATTGTTGCTTATTTTAACTATATTCTCTGCTTTTAAGAGGCTGTTTTGCAAGCAGTTTATTGAAATATTTGAAAACAAAACTAAAGCAAATAAAGCATTTGTGGTAGGCAAAATAATGGTCCTCCAAAGATGTCCACATCCTAATGCCTGGAACCTGTGAATATGTTACCTCACTTGGCTAAAGGGACTTTGTAGATGAAATTAACGTGATAGACCTTAAAATGGGGGGATTTTCTCAGATTACTCCAGTGAGTCCAGGGTAATCACGCAGGCCTTAAAAGGGAAGAGGCCGGCAGAAGAGTTAGTCAGAGATATGCAACAGAAGCAGCAGACGA